TCAAAGAGAGAGAGAGGGACAGAGAGAGAATAATACGAGAGAGAGAAATAGAGAGAGAGGGGGGAGAGGGTAGGGGAGAGAAAGAGAGAGAGAGAGAGAGAGAGAGAGAGAGAAAGAGAGAGAGAGAGGGGGAGAGGGGGAGAGGGTAGGGGGGAGAAAGAGAGAGAGAGAGAGAAAAAGAGAGAGAAGGGGTACGCGTTTGGTTCTGTTTGACCTTACTTTCAACAAGCTAGAAGAAAAAAACGATCTGCGAGAATATCACGTAGGCCTACATGAGAAACTGCTGCTCTGCCTGCATGCCTTTGAGAAAGTCTCTGAATCCCGGAACGTTGCGTAGTTAAAGATTCGTCACGCAACTTATCCTCATATTTTGAACGGGTGAATTAGAGTTACCCATACTTTACATAGCAGTCCGCTTCAGTTTGTCTTAGCTTAATCATAATGTTTCCACAAACAGTCTAGGCTGGATTTTTTTTAAAAACAACTTTTGTTCACAAATTTATACAGAAAAATATTACTATAAATCTCCGGATAGATAGCGAAAAATTGGGATTGTTCACACTGATTCACAACACTTCCCGCTTCTCACACACATATTGCATAGGCATAATGACTACGTCAGAGCTCACCAATGACAATTTTTAGTTGCAAAACTTGTTACAATAAATTAGTTTAATAATAGTGAACACTTTTTTGCACAAAAGATTCTCAAAATAGGCTATGTGTTAAAATAACGTATAAGCATAATGACACGATTAGAAAAAAAAAATGACGGACTTGCTTTCATAAGCGATATTGTCCCAACTGTAAACCTTTTAGAATCTGTAGAAACAACCTATAGGATTTTAAATTTATTTTTAATTTTTATTAGCTCCAGTCTTCTAGAAAATCCCTTTAAAGATTATTAAGGACGTTTCTAGAAGACAGCTAACAGTACTTGTGTTAAGACATATTACTAGACGTCAGTGTTAAAGCGCGAGACTTTATTTTCGGCAGTTGAGGAAATATTTGACAATAATTTGCGCCACGAATGTTTGACCGCGCGATAGGTGAAATTTAACTTCCCTATCTCGTCAAGATGTACACAAAATGTGAAGTAAGGTTCCTCTTAAAAGCCTCTTTCTTAACAAACCTGAATAACACCTGAAAAAGGCATGAAAAAAAGAAATATAAAGCTAGGAGTGTAGTAGGGGGACACGCACAGAGACATTAAGAGAGAGAGAGAGAGAGAGAGAGAGAGAGAGAGAGAGAGAGAGAGAGAGAGAGAGAGAGAGAGAGAGAGAGAGAGACAGACAGACAGACAGACAGACAGACAGACAGATAAAATAGTCTGACAGTCACAGTTGATGAGATAGCTCGTCAGAGAAGAGACATATTTAAACATAAAACAGGGGTCATAACCAAAGAAAATAAAAACCCGATTTGTAGCCGATTATTCTCTTTCTTTTTAACACAGTACAGGCACCAGAGGAGAGACAAGGACGATAGATCTCTTCTGAAAGTGAAAGGAAAGAAAGAGCAGTCCACATCAGAGCACGCGTCAACCACCCACTCTAATGAGACAGACAGAATGGACAACATTTACACAACACTTACACAAGACTTGTCACAATAACAATTCAAAGGAAATCTGGAACTGGAAAGGATAAGACAGTGCAGACTGAAAAGTTTAACATGTCCATTTCAAGAGAGATATAGCAAAAACCCTTCACAGTTTCTGGATTATACTATATCATATAGGAAGGAAGTGTAAATTTAGTTATAATGTGAGCTGAAAAAACGTCTGAGTCTGAGTGAGTTATTCGTATTTTCCTTCTTTTTTTTCACTGCTCTATACCCACTTTTGAATGGGCAATTTTTCATAATACAACATGTATTTTTGTATAGTTTCGTGTTGTAAAAGTAAAAGCATAGAACGCTTAGTTCTGAATGCGTGTGTGCATTTCAGCTTAATTCGGTCAGTGCGCTCGTCTCCGAAGCGGAAAGTCTGGGTTCGAGCCTCGGTTCGGACACGGATTTTTTTCGCCCTGCCCTACAAAACCAGCAGCCATGGGTACCTGTTTTCGAGTTGGGGAAGTAAAGGCGGTGTTGAAAGGAACTGGCCACCCTACCACAATATGCCGAAGGCCCAGGAAGTTGTCTCACTAACAAGGCAATCCTTAATGTCTGGATCGGATGCGGGAACAACTTTTCACCTTTGCAAATTTAGTTGGACTATTGGAACTAGATCTAGTACTAGTGATCTTTTGTAATATTATCAAAATGGTTGCCGCATAACACAACCCCCCCCCCTTTCTTCCATCCCTTTAAGTATTGCTGTGTGTCATTTTCCGCCGGAATTACTTGAATTACGATGTCTGCCTGTGTGAAATAATCTATAACAAAGAAATTTTAAAAAATAAAATATGTTTTAAAAAAAGGAAAATCTGAGAAGTCCTGCCGTGAGTGGACATGAACGTTTAAATACATCACAACGAAACACTTGGAGTTCTGAATTGAAATCAAACAGAGATGTTTGAACAAGTTGCAATCATTAATATTACTAATCAACAACGAGATCTTTATTTACAAAATATCAACTTTTATTGAAATCGTCAAAGAACACCAAAACTGGAGAAAGAACTTTGAAAATGAACTTGTATGATACACAGTTATGATGCACAATACAGTCAGTTACACCTAATGCCATGACAAGCCAATGCAAATAAACAAACATGGAAACTTAAATATTAGCACCAGGGTTTGTGGAGGATGGGGGGGGGGGGGGGGGGGGGGGGGGGGCAGGAAGGCAAACAAAATAACAAAATGTCTGCCTTCATATTTTCTTCTTTTTTTTTTAAATAGTGGGGTTTCGCATAATTTCAAGATTTTTTTTCATGTTATAAAAATAAAACTCCCATGTAGTAAGCCGTGGTCGGGAAATTTACAACTTGAGTTATTTCAATAGAAATCACCCTGGAATTAAGTTTGGTCAATTTATTTTGTTCGTGGCGGCGACTTATGGGAGAGATTTGTACTCGCAGACGAAGATAACTAATCACCTTTTATCTCTTTGGAATGTGTTTCCAAAACGTAATTACTAGGACAATTATTTTGATACTTTTTTATGTATGTCCTTTATTTTCTTTCTTTTTTTCTCGGGGATGTTTTTAAGGGGGAGGGATGAGATCGATTTCTGTTTCAACTAATATAGCTGATATAGGGATTAAGACCCTATAACGGGCTGACTTCAGCTTTCAGTTTTTATGTAAAGTTAAACAACAAAACAATCGAAAACAATAATGATATGAGAATCTTTATAACATTTCAGCCGTAATTTTTTAAAGAGTATTAAGGTAGAAAACAAAATATGGGTCGGTTATAAAATAGACGCATTGATTCGATTTTACAAAAATCTTATATTATCGTGAAATAGTAGAAACATTTCAAGTCTTGGGCTTTTGAATAAATAAAGAATTGATGCTTTACTAACAAGTTGAAATGTTCCATGCAATCTTAAAGTTCAAAAGGAAACATTATACTTTGCATTTCAAAAGTTTCAATCCAGCTTCGAAATTGATGTCTTCTTTTCAGAAATATTTTGATTTTGCTTTGGTACGCGGGCCACAAACATTACTCTCTACGAATAGTGTCTATTACACACTTCCTTGTGACCTGTAAAGTTTACCGAGTGTAAAGAGGCTGTCTTGAATAAGGCGCGTTCCTTCAAATTTAAAGATGTGACGTGGGTTCTTCGACACCGCAGAATTTAAATGTTTACAAGATGTAAAGATATGTCATCCTTATTAACATGGGGTTTACAAAACAAAATTAAAGGTTGTTCCCTTGCAAGCACTTAACGAACAAAATGCCTTTACTAAAAGAGACTTTCTACACGATATCCAGGACTCCAGATCCTGCAAAATTGTTCCAATAATTCGATCATACTGCTGGCAGTAACATCTACTTCTCTCGAACCATGTTCTCTTCATATTCATAGGCCTACGCTACTATCACAAGAATAAAGTGTGTTAATAAGTTTTAAGAATTACTGCAAATGTCTACAAAATGAGCATGGTTCACAAATAAATGCAAGTTCATGAATGTCAAATGCTGAACATATGTATTGCATAATGAATATAGCAAAGTGGAATCGCACATATAAACGAGCAATACTTTTAAACATACTGCGAATGTTAAGTTATACCCAAAATATATATCTTTTGTTATACTATCATCTGTATCTTCCCCACATTCACATTGGTATTAAACTCGCTTATTAACATAACATAACCAAGTCAAAAATTCAAAGAATCTAACAGAGTGAATATATAAACAAAAAATGGGTTAAATAAAATTCTACTTCAAAATACACTGTTAATGTACTACAATCGTAACAATACGTCATTTTTGTTTCCTCCGAATGGCTTGTTTATCAAATGATTCCAATGTTCTGGTACTCCTAGAGAGACAAACTAATTATTCATATCAATAATAATCTAAAACAAGTATTATCCCAGTCTGACAACTACTTGCCCTTAGGAGAAAAGAATGGTATGGGTCAGGTACGTTAGCCAGACTTCCTTTCAAACTTGAAGGCTTGATCGAAATTATGATGATTACAAAGTTATAATGACAATATGTACTATTTCTCATGATATCTACAAAGGAAAAAAAACAAAACTCATAAGACAGCAGTTTGTTAAGGCCTCAGAAACTGATTCAACAACTATAATTCTTTTAACGTGAAAGACTAGCCATGTATACGTGAGTATAAAAAGATGATAAAACTCAGAAGGCACCAAAATGGCATTTTCTGGTTTCATTTATTGACAAAAACGAACACCACAAAATAATGGTACAGAAAGAAGCTAAGCAGCAAATGAAAGTGCACAGCCATTAAAGTAGGAGAGGGTCTGAAAGGAGACGTGTTGCTTGCTTGCTGTGTTGTCGTTAATGTAGTAATGGCAATCTTTTTTTTTATCGTCGTCTTCGTCAACATCGTCGTCGTCATCGTCATCGTCGTTGTTCTTGTTGTTGTTGCTATTATTGAATGCAATTATTACTGTGATATTGGCAATACTTTTTGCGTTGTTGCTCTCCCTCTACACAAATTATTTTAGGCTCATTTGGCCATTACCGTATAACAATGGCGGTTTCAACTGCTTCAGTAGAAATGGCCGTTACTATCAACATTTTCAATAATAGTGCCGTTTATATTAAGAGGTAAATTTTGCAATCGTTTTTTTTAGTCTGTTTTTGATTGCCTGTTGAGGAAGCTGTTGGTGATGGTGATTTTAATAAGTTGTCATTGTCGGTACTTCGTATGTATAGGTAAGTTACGTGAATTTCGACGATCAATTAATTGTTTGCATGTCGATTTTTATTTTCTAGTGTAAACTTAAATAATTTATCTTATGAACTTCAAGACAATTAATATGAAGACAATAAACGTTATAACTTGAGACATCCTGCCAGTGCAGGGGGCTTGAAGACAAACACAAAGAGTTAGGAAATAATGACACTCTGAATTTGTTTGGGTTGTTCTTTTTGCGATTTCACAATTATTCATATTTCAGGGGCGGGGATTTTGGTTGTGCAAATCTTTGGGCGCCATCGCTCTTTGCTGAATACAATTGCCAAAGCGTGATTCCAAGAAAAATGCAATACATATCAATAGATGAGAACTTCGTTGCTTATCAACGCATGAACAAAAAATCTTTAGTACAACTAAAGCAAAAAGTACATCTCAAATGGCTCAACGAATCATCTATCTTACATATTGTAAAAGAGTATTGCAATAAAGTTGGTAGAGAGCAACATGTCTAACGTATTTCCTCTCTGCCTCCCTCCCTCGCTCTTTCTCTGCACACTATTCCTAAAACCCGCCATCTTCTCGTTTCCAGTATAGCAGTCACAATTGATTGTTTACACGAAAATAACTTTAAAATTAATTACAATACGAAAACATAACGGATTTTGTTGACATAAGCATTTAACTGCTTCTTTGCTGACCTGCGTGTTTATTTTTAACATAGAAAATGCATTGCTGAACGCCTTCCAACAATTGGACGCTACGTATAAAAACCCTAGAACTGAAACGAGCACACATTAATATCACTTGCACACCACCTGATAAAGAGCTGAAAATGTAGTTATTGTTAATACATGGAAAATTAAAAGATACAACACAAAAAGCTTTTGACAATATTACCAAAGCTCTTTGGAACATATGAAACACACAGTTCAATTAATTATGAATAATAATTTATGGCCTATCTTCTCAGATCAAAGTTTTGACTACTTTCAAGAAGTAAATCAGCGAAAACAATATCACATCTGCCGATGACTTTAAAATGGACATAAAACGTATTGCATAACAATGACTGAGTTAATGCTTGGGGTAATTTTAAACAATACTGTAATAAAATAGAGCAAACCAATGACATATTTCTCATTGTATTATTATGTTTTGCTAATAGATTGTCAGAAAATTGGAATATAATCAATTTGTAATTCAACTCCAAGATTAAACCTCAGAGAAAATGAACGTATAAGAAAATTTCCTCACTCACAACGACAGTGTAGGCCAAGAACGTGTTTACTGCATGTGCCATAGAAATGTCCAAAGGTAGATCTAGTGCTTTCTCTTTTAACAAATTACACAGTGCAACACCTTACCAGTATTTTGACAAGTCAGGTTTTGTGAAGTTATTGAGGAAAGTTGACCTTGCAAAAGAGCAAAAGAAACAGAAAGTTTTCCAGATCGAGGAAAAACGGTTGATCTGAACAAAGGTGGATTAAACATCAACATCAAAACCCAGGTATGCAAATCTAAGTGTCTATGAACCCAACAAGCATATAGGCGTAATACATAGCGCATTAGTTATGCAAAACGATTACTCACTTGTCCAAAGTTGTTTATCTCCTTTATATAGCCCCAAATTCGCACACAGTGAAATGCATACAGAATGAAAAGATATCCACGTCCCTCCGATTTCTCTATGCGTGTGCCAGACTTTATCTTCACGTCTGAGAAAGTTTCAGCTACGAAATGATCAGTATCGTTAAGAAATGCCCCAGCAAGAAATAGTCGTCAAAGTAGTGGATCGTGCATATTCTAATTTTTTAGTCCGTACTCTAACCACAGAGGAGTATATTTTTGCATTAGGTCTTAACGAAATTTAAGTGGAACCCTACTGAAAAAAAAAATCATTATTTGAAAAATAACATTTCCGGTGAATCCAACAAAACTTTCAAATAACTATTTTAAAAGCACTAAAGCATACGGAAATACCCCAAGCCAACATTCTCTTTTCACAATAGGCGATGAGATCTGATACTATCTTTAAAGAGGGCATTAGATTGTTATAATGCAAACGAATAAACCAATAATACACGGAAATAGGATTTATTTTTGGACTGCATATCGAGGTTAAAAAGCTATAACTTCAACTCTCCAAGTTATCGCCACTACCTTTCGGTATAATAGATATCAAATTGGCTCTGTTCGAACCCATGGGTTTATTGCTACGACGTACCGCCTGCAGCTGCTCTCTGGAGGTCGGCATCATGAGCTCCATGTCTGGCCAGCACAAACGTCCATTGCTGTTCTCTTCTGGCATCCCGCGTCTCACCGGCAGCATGTCCAACATCTCTGGGTGCATATCTGCTGCAGCAGGCCACTGCATCACGTTTTGCGATTTTGAACTTTGCTCAGCTGACATCTGAGAAGGCTGTAAGTTTGACATGTCTGCATAGCTGAAAGTGTAATCCGAACCACAAATTATTTCAGCAGGAGTTCCTGTTGTGGTGTGTCCTATGCCATTCCCATGTGTATTGTCTACGCTGTTAGCTTTTGATATGAGAGAATTTGAAAAGTCATGATCAAGGTCTGGGTCCCAAGGGTTTGTTCGCGTTTTTACGGTTCTCTGGCACAACGGATCTTCCATGGATGGTCTCAGCGCATGAAAAGGAACAGCAAACTCTTCAGAACTAGATCTTAGTTTCATAAGTGCTGCTTTACTCTTAATATTGTTCGACTTCATTCCCCTGCAGCCTTTATCATTTTGACCATTTGTACTGAAATCATTTTCCGAAGTATTTATGGTGATGATGTTACTCGTATTTACGTGAGGGTTACTGCTGCTACTGTTGTTATGGTTGTTGTTAGGATGTGTACCTGACATGTTCATCGGGACCTGGTGGACGTAAACGAATCTAGACATGTCAACAAAAGGCACCCGTATCATGCCTTGAGGAAATCTCGAGGTAGAGCTCATGTTTGCCATCATGCCAGGGAAAATCATACCAGGAGTCCGGTTAGAACCTTGGGAAGGCACCGGGGGTGGCGGGACCAGAATGTTGGGGACACAGTACATTTGTTGCGCCATGCCCATCGCGTTTGGGAGTTTATGACCTGGTAACTGCATCCGAGACATAGATGCGTTTGCCATAGACTGCGCTGCTGCATTGTTCTGAGGGAACATTCCATGAAATTGATTTGAGTTCATTGATGTGGGTGAGGGTGAGTACTGATTCTGCATAGGAATATCTTGCATTCGCATGCAAGATGGTGCTCCTACCGAATTCTCGTCTTTTTCTTGTCTTGTAAGCCCCAGCATTTCACGTAGTCTCCGATTGCTTTCTTCCATGTCCACCTTCTCTTTGTCTTCCATGGTTTGCCTGCAGCTGTTGCCACCTAGAATCATTCTAGGTCTTTGGTTTTCCGATTGTGCTTTACCTGGCTGTACTTCCGGTCTCGAAGGCTTGTTGTTTGAAAGAGATTGCTCTGCCAGTGTAAAATGTTTTCTCATCCCAATACAACGATAAGGAGACAACAGCTCTTGGTCATTTAGAATTCCTGTAGCATCATCAAAGTTTTGCACTTTCTCGTACTCGTCAATTTTTCCCGTTTTACCATCTGTGTCCCCCACGTCTTCTGGCGCCAGAGCCAATTCATGCCACGGAGCAGAGGGCAAGTTGTCTTCCAAAAATGTATTATCTAAATCTTCTGACAATTTAAAAACAGAACCATCTCCCTCCTGTTCGGTTTCTTTTTGCTCATTCTTGTCTACTTGATGCTGGTGCTGCTGGAGAAGGGTCAAGTGGGAGAGTGAGGCACTTGAGAGCATAGTGCTACTGGCTTCGCTGTTCCGAAGGCGTGGGGTTTCTTCCTTGTTGAGACAGCTTTCCCCTGGTGATGATGCACTGCTGGGGAGATAGTTTGAGGACTCAGTATTTCTCTGCCTGTTCATATTTTGTGCCGATCCCAGAGCAGACTCTCCAGAAATTGCGGTGCACAGATTAGCGTTATTTTGCTGGTCCGACATCTGTGGAATGTACCATTATTTAATATTTTTGAGTTGCAAATTTGTACGTTACTTTCTGTACTAGAAATCATAGTCTGATCTGAAAAACTTTAATTTAAAGTATACTTTCAACAACCTTTGAGCACATAATATAATATATAAATAGAATTACACAACCGCACAGGCTACAGATAAATACATATACACACAAACATAAACAAACAAACACAAATAAACACACACGCACACACCGACAAGTAAGAACTCTGTAACACACTCTCACACACAAGCACATTATTTCGGTTTCCCGTTCACTTTGCCTTCCTAAAAGGCCCAAAACCTCCTGAAGCAGACAAAGAGTGGATCCACGACAGGGTCATTTTATGTAGTTTTTTACGCCCACCATATACACAGTTTAGATCATTTAGGCGTCTGGCTTCCGGCCCTGCTTGTCAGCGTCAACCCGTGCTTAGGAATATACAACATCTTAGCAGATAGACCGAGGTACTCGACACAAATTTTGCCCCCACTCAGGATTCAAATTTGGGTCTACTGCGTGCTACAGTGAAGCACCTCTCTACGCAGCAGACGCTGATAGGATCATGTTTGCGTGTGACCACAGTTACCAAAGCCGGTATAGTTGATCGCTTTAAGATTTGTTGTCCATCTTTCGCTTAGCTGTAAAATGTGTGTGGAAAAAAAGGGGGGGGGGGTCTTATTTAAATAGGCGGCACGTGGTCAGATAGTACTTCGCATATTTTTCGAAACAGATGATTCCAAATTTTCGTCTAAAGTATTTTGTGTGTAATCTATGATTCTGACAATTTTCTACTTGACACATTGACACACCGCTATTTCAGAATGCGTCCTTAAGAATTTTTTTATGCTGTTCAACCTTGTTCAAATGTTCATTGGTGCATTCCTTCCACCCCTCCCATTATTTGGGCTGTTTTTGGAGGAGTTTAAGGGCTTTCACAATTAAATACAATTAATATAACCGAGCTCCATAGTGTTTAAAACAGCACAAGGCGAGAATTAGTACGTAAACATGTCCTCTCACCTTGTCCGCAAGTAAATCTGAAGACCCAACTGCAAGACTGACTCCTGCCTGAAGTGGTCTGCTTTTCAGTAACCTGGATCAGTAGTTACGTTCAGTTTAGTTTTACGGCGCGTACAGTACAAAATGGTTATATAAGTGCTGAAGATTAGAGGTGTTACTAGACAGTAACAAGCATTAAAAAAAGGAGGACAGATAGGGACGAAAGGGGTTTGAAAGGACAAAATACGCGACAAACCACACCAGAGCACCCACCAGCCAGCCACAATTGAGGTAAAAAATAGAATGAAATGTTACATAAAAGTGTTTCTAGTGTGTTGACTTCTGTTTCAATTATGGTGATTCTTCTTAAGAAGGGGGGGGGGGGCTACACCTTGAGGCTATCTCGCTTATTACTGGACCGCATTTTACCAAATTTCCAACCTATAACAAGCATAGTAAGGAGTCTTATAATCTGCAATCAAATTTAAGAAAACAGTTTCGTTTCCATGGATACGGCGGCCATATTGAATTTTGTTGACATGTCTTACGTAATGAATACTGCACTTATTGCTCATGGAAATGGGTTGGGTTTGTTTTTTTTGCATGCGTGTTAACACATTTAGATCTAAAAAATCGTGTGTTTGTTTTTTTCTTTAAGGAATTAGAAAATTTTAATGATTTTTTTCCTGAGGTAGCATTCAAATATGCAAAACAATCCGTGAAAATCCACACTCCAGACACCACCAACAAAAGTCTTCTCCATATTTCAAAATTTCACAAACAAAATTTTAGTATTACATCTTCTCTTCATTCTATGAAAGTTTCATGAAGATTGGATGAAAAATGGTGGAGTTATTTTTAAAAAGTATAGAGAAAAGTCGCGTTTTGAGAAAACGGCCTATAAAGAAAAATACAATATTGACTTTATGGAAATGGTGGCGACAAACATGCCTAGTATGGGAAAAAATACTGATTTTGGGGGTTCTTATGCTATCAAATAGTTGTAGGAGAGGCTGAGGAAGCTAAAAACTTATGAGCCGAATCGGGACTTTGGGGGGTATAGCTCCCCCTCCCCCCCCCCCCTTTAATACCGTATCGTGCAGAATCTGTAACCGTATTTATTTCGCCCTTGCATACACCATTGCCATTTAAGTACGCAGAAATAGATTGTTTTGTCAAAATCGGCTCTGAAAATGCAACAGCAAATTATAGAAATAAGATGGACAAATTATTATTAAGTCTTTGGAAAAGTGTACAAATTAATATTAACAAAAGCTGTATGTTCATGACAATATTGGGATATCTTTGATGAAAACAGGCACTCGTCAGAATAATAAAAACGAAATAACAGACATTTTCGTGCTTGTTGGTGCCACTTATCAATCTTTATTTTAGATCAACATCTTTTAAGTCTATTTAAAGACACATGTCTATGTGGATTTTACTTTTACAATATTGAACAAAGACACACAAAATTACTGTGCAGTTTCCAAAGACAAACTTTGGAAGTGACTAAACTTCCGCTACCATTTTCGCTTTTCTTTTACCTCTGATACTAGGCGACCCAGACATCCTTCAATAGCAAACACCCCGACTTCTGTTTAAGATATATGGGTATTTCTTTCATCAACAGAAAGACAAATGAACATGCTGTAAGGCGATACCAATGACTTTGAAAGCTTAAAAAACTTATGAACCCCTGATTCCATAGCGTCTTTTAAAAAATCAGATTTGAGGCAAAGAATAAAGGCGACCTGTACAAAATATATATATTATCTCTAATTAGGGAGTGATCAAAAAAGTATACCTTATAGCCAAGGCAAAATAAAATAAATGAAGAAAGAAAGAAAGTTTCGTCGAAGCACATTTCTCAATGCCTATCGACAGTTTAGCCATTTATAGTCCAAGTATTTTCCGATTGTAAAATAATCTTTCTTCCTCTTCAGGCGCAATGTAAGATAAAAACTTGTAGAAAGTGACAATTTACCTAGACAAAGTCGCATTATATGTACATCTACGCTCTAGATTAACATTCTTTTTGTCGTATTGCTTAGTCATGTTCGCTGAAGACGCCATGTGACCAAATGCGATGGCACAACGTTTTCTTAGCAAACTGAAAATCTAGCTAAAGTTTGATGTTCGAATTCAGGAGAAACCCGATTTGTGCACATCTTTTCTGTGAAACTGAGTCCATTAATAATATTATTATTGCCTATGCAACAGTCTAAAAGGGTTGGGGTGCTAACTTCTTTTTTATTTCTATGTGCAGCAGGAACTGAAATATGTGAAGAAACGGTTGCTGTTGGTAATGGCGTTGTCATTATTGCAGCTCGTGTACATTTTGTTTTGTATGTTGTAGCTGTGTACTCAGCAAACAGCCAAAACAGCAGCAATAGCAACAACAAACAAAAAACAGGAAAATACGTATCTGCTTACCAAGGAGGTGTTCGCGTGCAGCCGACAGTGCCAGTCATGTGGTCTAGAAGTGACCCCGAGTCTTTCAAAGACTCGGCTCGATCTCTGCCCCCTCCCCAAGAGGCGTTATTGTTGTTGGACATATGACGTCGGTGGTCTCCAAAACTTTTGCTGCTCTCATAGTCTATGGGAATTTTGTTCTGATCAGAACCATCAATAAAGGACAGTGACCCCACAAAGTTGGCTGTGTTCCCGCTATGACTGTCAGCAGATGAACCATTTGGTATTGTCCATGGAAAATCTCGATGCGCCTGTGTTGTAGAACAGTACGGGTCCCCCAAAGGTCTACGTGTCGGGTCCATGCCTTCGGTGGATCTGCCTACGCCCATTGAAGGTTGAGCGAGAGTTTGTTCGGCCTGAAGGCCATCTTGTTTCCACTGATACAGTCGAGACGTCCCTGGAATAAGGAAGAGCAAAATAGCTCCAATTAAAAAAGGAATAAGGAGTATCTGATATTGATTGTAGAAGAATGATGTGCTCAATAAAAAAGGCTCCGAAAAAAACTGGGCTTTTTGGGTGATTCGCCCATTGAAAGACAGGATCAAAGTTCAATATTAGTAACGGTACGATAAAATTAATGTTGAAATCTTACCAGTTGACTTCTTGAAAATCTAGAGAAAAAGAAGACCTTCCAACCAGAATCACATTGCCATAATACGTATAATTTAATGCAGAGGACCAGCAGCCCAAAAGACAAGGGTAAATAAAAGGACGTGATAAAATGTTATGTGCACGCCCTTCCTCAATGTTGTTTCTTTTCTTCATTTTTTTTCGCGTAAAGCGATATGTTATGTTCTGCTCTTTGCCGGGCTTGACTTACGTGCTGCCGTTTGGTCCATTGTACTAGCCGCTCGATACGACATGAACCCCATCCCAGTGTCCCCCATCACGCTGTTGGGGGTACATAGAAGTCCTCCACTAGCCAGCTGGTGATCAAAGATTCCAGAACACGAAGGGAAAGTACTCCAGTCGTCCCTAGGCTCCTCTTCCAAGAAACCAAATGATGTTTGAGAAGTGCTCAGAGAATTGAAGTCTAAATTATTTCCCTGGTTTTGGTTCATACCAAATCCATCAGTCTGGCTGCATATTAAGGAAGGAGTGGCCATTTTTACAATCGGTCTTTGATTCTGCCTCCCATACTGAGCCGAATATTCCTCCTGACAAACGTTAACGCCAGGGGTTCGTGACTGAACACCTCTAATACGGCTCTCAACAGAGCCCCCGTCTTTGTTGCCCATTCCACCCTCAGTTTTATCCAGGTACCGAGGATTTTCGCACGTGGCCTCAGACCAGGCTCGGGTTGTTTCAGTGTTATACTCGTTCTTGTCTCCGATTACGCCACTAAAATTTTGAGAAAAGTGGTTGAAAGGCTGTTGTTGTTGTTGCTGCTGCTGCTGCTGCTCTCGCTGTTGGCAATAGCTCGAACAACTGATGGATCCCCCTCCACTTTCAGAACCAGATGGCTCCATGAGAGGATCTGCAGACAATGTCATGGGGTTTGATGGATCCAAGCACGCGTAGCTTGCCTGCAAGTGAAAAATCAGAAGATGTTTACTTTAAATGCTACTAACATCTCTTTGCTTAAGTTTTGTTTAATTAAAAAGGCGCATTGTAATATGTACTCACGATATTTACTTTTGGGCTTCAGAAAACGCTACAAAAAATTAAAGTAATCGAAGAAGCGAGAAGGTGAAAGTCTGAGCCAGTGACACGCTTTAACAACAGCACAATATAAAGTTTGAGAAAAAGAAATATTGTAAATATAATGAAACAAATATTTATGACAATTACAATGAGCTGCACGTTTATTCCTCCCTCGATACAATATAACAGATTTTGAAAGTAAATACGTGGTCCTTTTGGATGTACATAAAAGTGTTCTGGTCCAATGAGGAACAAAACACTTAGGAATGGTTTTTCAAATAAAGAGAGACCACCAATTCCACCCACCCCACCCCCTCTTTCTGTAACACACACACACACACACACTCTCTCTCTCTCACACACACACACACACAAACACACACACACACACACACAAACACACACACACACACAAACACACACACACATACACACACGCGCGCGTGCGGAACTGGAAAACATGCAAAGCTACTTTAAGCTTTCAGCTTCCCAGCCCTGATAGAGCATGACTAGTGTTAACATTCGTTTGTCTACCTTCAATGTTCTCGCTGCTGCGCCTGTGTCCTGTCCACCTTTTCTCTGTGAGTCGTACTGAGAAGAGAGGCTATCCGTTGTTTGACTTTGAAAAGGAACAGCGTTGGCACACATCTGCCGATAAGTCGACCAATCCGATTACAAGATATCGCGTGAAGGGAAAATGTTAGAACTGAGTTTGCCTGGGTCTATCATTTGGCCTATGTTATTTGGGCAAGTATTGGGGATAAGAAATATGACCCCCTTTCTTTCAATATTTGCCCAAACGGAAAAAACGACCTAGTACTAGCTTCAGGTAAAAAAAAAGAATAGTGTATATTATTATCTACTAGCGTATTTCTACTCAATGATCATGATTTAAAGGGCTTGCTAAAGTGAATGACTTTTTTAAGAAATGGAAAAAAATGTCCAGGATCGCCGCATAGTGTTCCAATAATTGTGCTTCACTTTGATTCCCATCCTGTCTCGAATCGTCTTTTTTCTAATAAAAAAGAAGAAAGGAAGAAGTAAGATACGATATAGTGAATTAAAGGGAATATTGAAATACACGTCATAGCGTTAATTTAGTTTCCAATACAGAAAGAGACAACAATAAAGTAAAACAATGAAAATACTAACCTTTCTATCGCCACCATAAGTCGTAATTTTAGGGCGCAATGTGGTGCTGCTTCCTGTACCAAGCACTTGGTTTTTGCTGCTGTTGTCTATGGCTACAGTCTGTCTATTCTGGAGATAGATGCCGTAGGAGGAAGCCATAGGCACGCCATCGGAGCCGTGAAGTGAATTGGGCACGTTACACCATGGTTTGCTGGCTCCTTCACTAGGAGATATAATGTCAACCTGTTTGGATGCATGCTGGAGTCTTTGAAGCTGCTTGTGCTGCTCTTGCTGCTGCTGCTGCTGCTGCAGCTGCTGTTGTTGTTGTTGTTGTTGTTGTTGTTGCTGCTGCTGCTGCTGCTGCTGCTGTTGCTGTTGTTGCTGTTGTTGTATCTGTTGAAGTTGTTGCTTTTTGTGTTCTTGTTGTTGTTGCTGTTGTTGGTGCTGAAGAATCTGTCGTTGCAACTGTTGCTGTTGTAAGAGCTTTTGTTGATGCTGGAGAAGACTACCAATTGTAGGCGGTCGGTGCTGTTGAGGTTGTTGTTGTTGCTCCTGCTGCTGTTGCTGTTGTTTCTGCTGCTGCGGTTGTTGCTTCTGTTGCTGGGATGAAAGTTTGGTGTCCGTAGACACACTCTGTGCGTTGGTGTTAACCCAGTCCAGGGAACGAGTCGCTATTTGGTTAGATGAGGAAGTAGACGATGGGTTTGGTGTCTTGTAAATATTGTCACCTGCTATCATTGATTCCTCAGAGCCATTAAAACAAGCTGTCGGTCTCGTTGTAGATGACGTGCTTCCTTGCACAACTGCGGAACCGCCATCTGTGACACAAAGTGAATCTGCCGACGATGTGGTCATTGTTGTTATGGAAATAGTATTTGTTGTTGAAATCGAAGTGGAAGAACTATTGGCTTTAAGGGGCAGGTTTGTTGAACTAGCCTTTTGGCAAATTTCTGTTGAATTTTCGTTCAAGTCTTCGAGTTCACGAAAATCACCATCTGCTATCTTATTATGACGTAAAATGCTAGCTGTTGCCTTATCCGAATCGTTGAGATCAACCCGAACAACACCCGAATACTCGTTCACTGCGAGGCCAACTTTCTGAATTACATCAATAAACCCGGCCTTTCGGAGGACGCCATTTCTACAACTATGTGGCCAAAGCTTTCGAATCGATTCAGTGGTGGTCTTCTTCAGAAGGTCTAAGAACTCAGGGTCTTCTCGACTGTCCTCGGAGAACACCGGTGTCGTCCAAGAAATGGGCAGCACGAGATGATGGGCAGTCTTGACGGCAGACTCGGTTAGACTGGAAAGATCTGGGGTGCTCTGGCCCTGTCCGCATGTTCTGCGGAGCTGATCCAAGTACGAACGATATCTGATGGCAACGAATGAAACAAGCTTAGGTGTTGTCTAAATAGTAGATATTCTCGTGTGTCTGTGTAAGGGGGGTGGGGTGGGGGAGGGTGGTATTTTGTGTTTATTTTCTTTGGGTGGTACGGGTGGTGATCCATATCAATGATAGATATATTGCCTTTCAAGTAAGTTAAGGTGCAGAACAGAAACTGTGTCACACATAAAAGACCTTCTTCTCCTTCCAGGTGATAAATGGCATGCATGCTATTTTTCTCCAAAATATCTACCTATCAGTTCCAGTTTTCAGTTTGGTAAGAGTTTTATGACATTATCAACTATATAGAATCATACAAGCATGCGGGACTCGATTGGGTGTTTTAATGTTGGTTCACAGCACGGCTTGATTTTACGATATGGTTGAAATTTTAAAAAATTGGTGGTAAAAATTTCAAGTAAAAAATAGTGATCTGCATTTTGTAAAATAACACCAGCTACATTTTGGAAGAAAGGACAATGGTCTTTATGAAATGGAAAATTTTGCTGGGATCTGCGATGGAGAACAATTTCTTTAAAATAGTGCATTTAAAATATTTCCTTCGGGTCCCTCAAAAAGTCTAGACATCCTATAATGATGTGTCTCGTCGTAAAGTCGGTATCACACCCGATACAAAATGGGTTTTTCGTCTTCCAGCAGGAGGTATTTATGGGTTTTTTTTAAGGTATTATGCTCAATACATGATTGTGTTAAAATAGTTTCGTCTCTTCTAAAGAGACCCGAAGGTTTTCGTGGATCCAACTTGTGAATGATATTATTGACTTTGTTTATTGACTCCTGTGTACCTCAAAGAGACTGGAGGTGTGGCATATGACCATGTTTTTAAAGTCATGATGAAGCCAACACTGTTTAGAGTTGTTTGTGGATAGGGCAACGGCGCCTATTGCTGAGTTAAAATTAAAGACATCGGTGAAAACTTTGTCTGCATTGTGATAATGTCAGGAAAGTGAGGGGATTGGATAGAAAGAATGAAGGGGAGTTTTCAAATCTTTTCACAGAGTGGACAGTGTGATGCTTCTAAAATAATGAAACAACTTGATAGTATGTGTCATAGCAGGCTTGAATATAACACCTATTTATTTCATAGACATAAAACCTCTCCTCTCCCCACCCCCACCCCCCTCTTTCTCTCTCTCTCTCTCTCTCTCTCTCTCTCTCTCTCTCTCTCTCTCTCTCTCTCTCTCTCTCTTTCTCTCTTCCTCTCGCTCTTTCTCTATCTATCTGTCTATCTATCTATCTATCTATCTATCTATCTATCTATCTATCTATCTATCTATCTATCTATCTATCTATCTATCTATCTATCTATCTATCTACCACTGAGAATTTCTATCCCACTTACGTATTGAGGTAGTTAGACACAAGCGTGCTTGCGTGAGGGGTTGACAGAAGTGTATTCCCGAGCAGTCTCCCACCGCTATTGGGCGGACCACTCTGATAGCTGTACACTCGCACAAGGTCAGCAAATGTCCTGAAACATAAATACCACTGTCAGTTGCCTAATGTTGTCATTGCTATCCCTCTACCTCTCCCCTTTCTACACACACACACACACACACACACACACACACACACACACACACACACACACACACACACACACACACACACACACACACACACACACACACACTTACACAAATTTCCCGCACACCTTACCCCAAAACCACTACCCCCCCCCCCAAATTGCTCCCCCTCTTACACTTGTCTCTCCTTTTTTTCACAATATTATGTCGTCTGAACTTTCTTCTTATCGTCTGTTCGATTTTGTTCGGTCTTTAGATTTTGGAAGAGCAACGTTTGGAGGTATAGAAAAAAACCGCGTAATTGTTATAATAGTTTTATGCGTTAGTTAACAGTAACGCACTCAGTGTTAAGGGAAAAAGGCGGAAAATAGAAATACGTGTAATAGAAGGATTGGAAAGCCGATGCTGTCACCCAAACCCTAAACGTGCGCTTCACTCCCTTTGACAGCGACCGATGCAATAACTATTTTTGCTATAAATCATCAAATGACATATACAGATTGAATGTAAGCAATTAGAATCCATTATTGGCAGTCTCAGAACACTCACTAGTCAAAAATGTACTACATGTACCTCTATAGCACCCTGGCTATTTGGGTGTTAGGGCCAACAAGGACTTAGTTTGACGTAATGTAACTGCAAACACATATACTATATTTTTTCAAATTTTCTCCCTCGAACTATTGACCCCTGAATGTAGCAGTCAAGAGTTAACCATTGCATGATAGACGTTGTTGTTGTTCGTTTACTTTTATAGGAAACAATGACAGTGATATGAGGGTGATTGACACGGAAATAATTATATGTAATCTGTCAGCGGTTAGGTATCCAGAATCAACACAACGTGTGATATAGGGCTTTGGTTTATCAAATGTCAGCATGACAGCACCAGGAAGGGAGTAGCCTTTACTTTAGAAGGGCAAAACATGTCTCATACAAATGCTTTAAAACACATTATGTTACTATGCGAAGAGAGACAGCTTATAAATCAACCCTGATGCCGCTACAGTAAGGCTCAAACTCTCGCTGCACACGCGTGATGGCTTTTCTCTTTAATGTTTTAAAAGTTAACAGTGTGTTCTGTTGTAAAGACGTGCTCATTTGTGAATGCCAATGTTTTTAATATGTCCCATGGTTTGAGTATTCAGGATAGATAGCCTATGAGCGTTTTCATTACGTTTTTATGAGCTTATATCGAAACGAAACGAGGGTGAATATATAATCCATACGCCTTCCTGCGTAATATAAAGAAGTTACATATCGTGTTTTTTTGTTTTAGAGAATACGCAGCTTTTATGAACAGAGTTTTTAATTTCCATGAATCTAGGAATGTCATTCATGTTCTTGGCGTATGAGGTGCCCCTCTTGGGATTACAAGATGGGAAAGCTGTGATTGTTGGAAATCCATTTTAAGGTGTGGCCATTAAAATTTCTCCAGGCCAAAGAGCAATGACATTCGTGTTTTTGGGGTCTTTGCGTTTGTTATTTTTTTGTCAGAGTAATCTTAATGTACATTATGTTTACGTCTTTCTAAGTTTTGTGTACATATTCTGAGCATTTTTTGAAATCTTTAAATAGTAATGTCCAGAAAGTACGTGTATTCCACTGAAAAAAAAATCCGTCAGTACACAAAAATTCAGACATTATGTAGGCCATAAGTGTTCTCTTGTAGCCTGTTGCGTATAATTGCCCTTGCAACTACATGGTGATTTAAGACTACCCAAGAAAAATATTTATTTGCACTTGAAACGGCATTTGTAATTCGTACTTTTATCTGAAAAGGCTGAGCAAAAATGGTACAGAAAATTTCAAAACATACGGAATGAAAAAGGCACAGGACCTTCCCATCACACCCTCTAATCTAAGCACACGCAAAAGGGAACTTGCAAACACCATAATGATACTTAGATACAGTAGATGCTTCTAATTTGATAAAGGATAGCAACTTCAACAACATAAAGCGAGGAACGTACTCACACTTGAGTATCAAATAGTTTCTGGGTTGTTCCAAGAGTTTGAAAAGAATTTTCATGTACAGGTACCTGGAGACAAAAAAATACTAGATAGTAAAAACGTATATCAAGCTTTTTGAAACTTTTCTAACGCTATAAAGATTTCCTCACTGCTCTCTGTCCTTATAACTATCAATGTTCACATCGATTTTCCTTTGCTTTTCTGGTGGCGGGGCGATAATCCCTGCCAGATACATAATTTCATTCAAAGAAGTCATTCGAATTATCTCTGTCCTTGGCCTTTATTTATTACCAGTCGATCTTTTTTGTATCTGGAACCTTAATCATCAACCATCGTGCTTCTAACCAAGACCTACGAACAATAGATATAGTATACGAACAGTTTATTTGGCCACAACATATCAGTAAGATGTGCTCGTAAATCTAGATGACGTATATCTGGA